CAGTAGCTTTCTTTTCAACAAGATCTTTAAATGATGAAACAACCGTTGATGATGATGTTGCAACACCCCGATTATAAATAGCCTAAAACAAAAGACAAATAAAATAAATTAAAAAGTTAATTGTATAACAAAAGTTTTACTTCAAAATTAACATTAACAGATGGTTGAGGCGGAGGTGTTGGTAATGTTTGTTGAATATTAACTGGTCCAGATATTCTTCGATCAATCATCATTAAACCTTCTGTTAATTTTTCTTTTATTACTGTATGACTAATAATTGCTTGTGGAAGTAATGAACGCCAACCACTATACCATCGTTGAATTTCTTGATAATTTGGATTTGTATTTAACCAAACATTGAGTACCTAGGAAAAAGAAAACATCCAATGATAAATTTTCTTCTGCAAAACAAAAAACACATACTTGAAGCCATTTTGGAAAAAAACTTTTTTCTAATATTGCAATCATACTTGGTAATGGTACCATATCATACCAAGCAACAAACCAATGCCATGGATCTAAATAAATATTTATTCAATAGAGAAAAATATTTTTTCTCCGAAAATCTTATTTATTTCATACCTAAAACTTGTTGTCGAGGATCAATAATAAATTGTTGCATTGTTGAAACTAATTTTGGTACAATATGTTTATTCATAAATGCATCCCATGTACCTTGTTTAAAAACTTTTTGCCATGGAAGAAGAACAGCTTTAGCTGATGAATCTGATGGTTGCCAATTTTGTAATGCTTGACCTAATTTTGTACGAATTGGTTGATAAAGTGGTTCAAGACGATCTTTCATTAATGGTAACCATGGATGAAGCCATGAATGTATAGGTATTGAATCAGTCAATGGATTCCATGCATCAACTTCACGATGAAGTATTGGATAAATAAGTTGATCAAATATATTATCAATTATCCATTGTGGTAAATATGGTAACCATCGTTCAATAAAATCAATTATATGATCAGGTTGACGTGGATTCCATTCACTATAGTAATAACAATATATAAAATAATTTTTATATTTTGATTAAAACTTTACTTACAGAATAGATTTTCTTAAAAATGGCATCCAAACATCCCATATAAGTCGATGATATGGATCCATATTTTCTTTTGACTGTACAGAATTATCTATTGTTAAATCAATAGTATCATCTTCAAGTATTTGTTTCCATTTAGAAAATAAATAAATTAATTGATGATCATCATTGTGAATATTCCAATTTAAAGAAAGATGTTGTTTTAAATGACTATGTAAAACAGGAACAGCTAAATCCCATAAACGATATTTTTTATATTCTTTTTCATAGTTTTTTCTAAGTTCTTCAAAAATTCGATGTAGAAAAAATAAATCGGATATATTTTTAACTTGATTAACACATTGTTCACATCTAAAATAAAATAAAAAATTCTTTAATCAATAATTTTCTTTTCATTTTTATTTCACTTACTGATTAATCATATTTAATAGAATATTTATTCTATTTATACTTGTTTCTTCATCTGACATCATTTGTTGTGTATAATTTAAATCATATTTTAATGCAACTGTTGTATCTTCATCAAATTTTCGTCTAAAATAAATGTTAAATTTGAATTATTCAAATAATTAGCTCTAAAAGTCTTAGAAAATAATTAACAGACAATTATATTGTTTATTGTCAAATGACAATCACTTTAAATATGAGCGGCGAATCAAAATTTTCTTGTCAAAATATTTGACTATTTTTCGCGTGTCTAAATGCATTGAAAAAGAATGAGAAGTAGTGTATTAAAATCAAAATTACTATTTAGATATAAGAAAACCTGGACAGAACTCAAAAAGGTCTTTTATTGAGACAAAAAGTCTTCTTTTTCTGAAGACAAGTCTATTTCATATCGATATCAAATCATTTCTGTAAATATATAGTACTTGAGGGTGACCTCTACTCTACAAAATGGCATAACAATAAACAGTTTCGGTTAATCCACTAAAAAATGGTAAATTTATGATGGATTCAGGATTATTTTGAGCTGAAAAGACGAATATTGGAAAAATAAACATTTTTCTTCTAATAGACTTTATAATAACTTTTACTATACCTCGACTGTTTGCAAAAGATTGTTGAGTCTGAATTTAGTCACTACTTCTGACTTTCTTTTTTCCATGCGTTTAAATATGCGAAAAATAGTCGATTAGTCTCGAGATAGATGTTCAATTCGAATTCTTGCTGGTGAACTGTTTTAAAACAATGGTATTTCAGGTATTACAATTGTTAATGAAGAAAGTCAAGTTCGAATTCAAACATTTATAGATAAATTTACGAACTTTAATTTAATTTCTTCATCGATGATTTTATTACCTCAAATGTCATCATTTCAACATCGTGATATGAAAGAAACTTTTAGATGATATATTTATGCAGAACAACTTTTTTCTACCTATATTACAAGACATGATGCACAAAAAATAAATTTCTAATAGTAATAAAAAATGTTTTGTTACTCTTGTTATAGGTATTAATACGTTATTTGTTTAGTATTAGACTTCAATTTAGTGAATAAATAGAACATTTTTCTCTACAGAAATAATACAAGATTGGTAAAATAAAAATGATTCTATCCTAGTACAGATACTAAAATCAAAGTATTTTTTTGTGTAGTTTGATGATTTTTTAGTCGACTGCCTAGAAAAGCAATGAACTCAAATGAAATATGTATTAGAAACTAGATCGAATATTTTTGTAAAACTCGTCTTATGTATTCGAGTACTTGAATAGCTCAAAGTTACACTGAGAGTATTTTAAAGTCGAACAACTAGCTATTCAACAAGTACTTTGATTTACCAGTTACTAAAAAGTTTCTATGACATGGTACATACTATTCGAAAATATTGCTTAAATACTCTCAATTTATCACATAAACAAGAGTAGTTATTATGAAATTTAAAAAAAAACTTTCGGTTTCAATTTTAGAAGTTATCTTATGTTAATAATACACGAGAGAAAGTATCATGAAGAGATGACATCATCACTCAAAAAACTTTGGTTGCTTAAGTTTCTTAAGTATGACGAAATTTCTCTGTAATATTCCCTTACCTTCGATGTGAACGAATCATTGATTCTTCACATGCGTCAATAACTAAATCAAGATTATGTGTTAATTCATTTAATGAAAATACTTGTTCATTATCATATTGTTTTGCCGTTATTGAATCATAATTTTGAAGAACACGTTGTTCACGTCCAGTCATATCAATAATTTTTTCTCGAGTTTGTTCACTGGGTTTTTTATTATGGAATTTAGTTGTTTGTTCTTTCAATACATCGTCTAAAGTTTTATAAACATATTGTTCTCTAGGTACTTTCTAAATACACAAGAAAGAAAGAAAGTGTTGTTTTTTTGTTAATAGAATAAAAACTGTATATTACTTCTCGTTGTTGTCTTCTCCATTGTGGTACACTAGGACCAGCATTTTTTTTCGATGTTCGTGTTGATTTACCACTTTCCGATACTATAAAAATCAATAAAATTAATTCGAAATTAGAGAAAAAAGTATCCATTACCTTCAGTAGGTTTAATACGGTTTGGATCTTCATTGCCATATCGACCAACTGCACCTTTACCTTGACGTTTAACAACTTGAATAGGTAAAGCTCGACCTTGAAGATCTTTTCCCAAGCCATGACCTTTTTTGAAGCCCATCTAAATATTGCATTATTAAGTTATATATAGAACAAAAAAAAAAAACATTTTATTATTTCTATCAAATACAGTCAATATACATGAAATTTTAGTTTGAAAAGTTGAATGATTCCTTATTTCAATGGATATACTATAGGACATGGATTAAAATTTTGAAAAAACAAAGTCACTTCTCCTGACAGAGTTTCGAGTAAAATAATCATTGATAAAACATACCTTCATTAATAGCTTCATACCAATACCTTTTGTATGTTTTTCAAATGCACCAAAATCTCTACAATAATAAAACGAAATAGATGATTTTAATGAAAATAAATAAATAATTTTATACTTGTCATGAACTGTTGTATTTGTTGGTGGTGGTGGTCGTCGATATTGAACATTTGGTGGTTGACGTTGAGTAATTGGTATTTCAATTTCTTCATCACTCTAAAATAACAAAATTCTGGTTTATTTCTTTTTGAAATTAAATTTTTTTTTTTTCTTACAGATCCAATTGGTTGATTAACTTCATCTTGTTCTTCTTCAATATCACTATCATTATCATCATCACTACTATCACCACGTTTTCTTCTTTTTATTCCAACTATTTGAACATCATCATCATCGTAATCATCATTATTATCTTCATCATCAAGTTTTTCGTCACTATCGTCATCACTATCATAACTTTCAATGATGATTGGTTTTGTTTTTGTTTCTGTTTTCGGTATTTTCTTTTCAATTTTTGATCCTAATTTAACACCACCACTAACAAATGATATTCCTTGAGATACTCGACCATAAGATGATGATGTTGTTGAACGATTTGATGCTCGTTCAGCTGCTGTTGCCCAAATACCTATTTGATATAATTATTTATTAGAATTTATATCTAATCAAAAATTAAATCTTACCATAAATAGCTTCTTCTTTACTTTGTCGTCCTCGTCGACGTGTTGGATTAAAAGCAGAATCTAAATCATTTTCTGTAATATTAAATTCTTCAATATAATCATCATCAGCCATTTGTTTAGTATTTTAAAATGAAAAAAATACAAAAAGATTTTTTTTATCGTAATTACATTCGTCTAAATATGATATAATGATTCATGATTAACTTTCATTGGATCGTATGACGAACCATTTACATAGCTCAATAATATTTCTGTCGTCGTCAGCATTTTTTTTGTGTATATTACCAACATATAAATGACCTCGAATTTATTTTTTTTTGAAAACAACAATTACTTGTGTTCTTTTTTTTCCGGTGGGTGTCTATTTCAGATTTTCATATTTCATTGATTTTATTTCTTATTGTCAACATGGTAAAATTTATTTGATTTATTTGTTTTTATTTTAATTAAAAAAAAATTGTTTTTAGGCAAGAGATACAAAAAGTAAAGCAAACAATGTCACGACGACAAAGAATGTTGATAAATCTAACGGACGTTCATTTTGTTGTTCAATATGTATTTATACATTTGTTTTTGTTTCCGGTGTTATTGTTGGTGAGTTTTAATTTAATTATTTTTATATTTGTATAAATTTTATTGTTCTATTTAGCAACAATCTTGCCTGATTTAGCCGGTCATCATCTTAAACAACCTTATGCAAAAGAATATAGTATATTTAAATTAAAATTTGATTAAAGAAACATATTTTTTCTATTAAAAGGTGTCATGCTTGAACAAACATTTAAAGATTTACCCAAACATTTGAATAATTTCGCTGAAACAGCAAGTGTAATTCGTCATAATTTAATGGATCGTTTTTGGGCAATGAAAGCTGAAATTGATCGTCGTGTTGCCGAAATGAGAAATAAAAAAGTAGATACGTCAACAACACAACAAACTACAACGAGTAATTTATTAAATAAGAAAATACAAAAAAAAAGACATTTATTCTATTTTTAGAAAAAACAACAACACAACGTTCAACAACTAAAACAACAACGACAACTGCTGGTATGTTTTTATTTTTCCAATTATTCTACTGACTATGTTTACTTTGTCACTTAGCAGCAACAAAACAAACAACAACTACTCCTCGCCCAACTACTACTACTCAAACAACAACAACAACTCCTAAACCAACTACTACTACTACCCAAACAACAACAACAACTCCTAAACCAACTACTACTACCCAGACAACAACCACAACAACAGCTAAACCAACTACTACTACCCAAACAACAACAACAACTCCTAAAGCAACTACTACTACCCAAACAACAACCCCTCAACCAACTACAACAACAACCCCTCAACCAACAACAACAACCCCTCGACCAACTACTACTACTACTCAAACAACAACAACTACTCAACCAACTACAACTAAACCAACTACTACAACTACCCAAACAACGACAACTACTCCTCAACCAACTACTACAGGTAGCTATACGTCTCTCTTTTGTTGTAGGATACTAATATTATTTGTATTTTATTATTTAAAGTAAATTCAGATCATGTCCATAAGGTACGTGCACACGATACAACAATAGCACCACCAACGTTTACTGAAAAACCAGTTGTCGTTGAATCTACAACTGTTAAATCAGAAGAAAATCGAGAAAAACCATCAGCAACGAAAGAACTTTAAACAAGAAAAATTTATTCTTAGGCAATTAAGATACTCGTCATTCCATATAAAACGGTTAATCTGGACAATTTCGTTTGACATTTTTCTGTTCTATGACCCATTTTCTTTTTTCGTCTATTTTCATTTTAATTTGTACCTGGACCTATGGGAATAAATAAAACATTCTTTCCTTTTATTATCATTACAAATACTCGGTAAAGCAGCGATTTTATTTTCCATTTATGTGATTTGGATTTTCATTGATGAAAGAAAAATATTGATTAGTCTATTGTGTTAACATTGATAAAATTACGTCTTAATAGTGTTAAATTAATAACCTATTTTTGAGATCTCACTAAAAGATAAATGCATATTAATCATATAAAATATGTGCAAGCGCATTTGACTATTGGCTCTTTTCTCAATTAGGTTAAAGTGATCTAAAATTTGATATTTCAATGCTGAAATTAATCACTAAAAAGAAATGTGTCGCAAAAAATTTAAAGATTGCTTGGCTAGCATGTCATTTTAACACGAAAAACTTATGTGACTAGAATAGTTGTTGAATTTAATGAACACTAAAACGTGTAATCTACGCTAAAATTGTCATGTCGCTGTACAGTTGTCTCGAATGACAATGATCAGATATTGTTTCTGAATGTGAGTGATTTCAAGATTCCATGGGCTATGCTCATGTTCAAGTCTCATCGTCAAATTAGTATACTGTATATGATGAACAACTAGATATGATATACTGTTGTTCACTTTCTGTAAACTGAAGTATCGATCAGTTATTCTATACATACTTTGTTTTATGAATAGAATCGATGTTGATGCTATTATCAATTATATGATTTGGCATTGAAAGTCATCTGAAGGTTCAGCACTCATTGACGAATTGAATCTTAGAGTTTACTAATCATGAGTTTAATTCATGTTACAGTAGTATAAAAAAAAGTGATGAAATTTATCAAGTCAAATTTATTGAATAGAAATGGCATGGAATAGTTGCCACTTTCAGATTCATAGTTGTCATTTGATCGGATTACCCAATTCAGAGATTAGTAAAAAAAAAACAATAGTTGAATATCTTAATTATATGATTGATTTCAGTGTAGCTGGTATTCGTGTTGATACTAGTTTGTTTAACACATCTTTATTCTTGATTTTATCATTGTGCTTTTTAGTTTTAATCGAACATATGTCGTTTGGCGATTTAAATAAGATAATCAACATTTTAAAATATCTTCGAGAAGAAATAGTAATATTATTTTAGTTCATTTAGTGTTTTTGAATATCATCAATAGAAGATTATTTTACGATTTATTCTTGTATGATCATATGGATTGAATTCTAGATTTTATGATTTTTTGCTATTTCTGAAAATAATTTTTTTTGTCATTAACAATGACGATTTCTCACCATTGGATCAATGATAACAAAATAGTTTTCCCGGATGATAAATATTCTGAAACTATATCCACATATCATTAGTTCATGATAAATGTATAGAAAAGTATCAACGAGTCTTCAAAATGCGAGTTGAATATTCTACGAGTATGAAGAACAACGGTTGACAGTCATTTCATGTAAGAAAAAAAATGTATGCTATTCTGTAAATTCTATTGAAAATTTTCTAATTACATTTCCCGCAACTGTACAAACCATTGATATATAATTTATATTCCCATATGGATCGTGAATGTTTGAAAAATTTTGCAAAAAACCTCAAGCATTTCGATCGTCTTTTTCAATGATGTCGATAGCATAACAATTATCAAATAATCTAAATCATACTGAACAGAGTCTTTCATATTTTCCAAATATGCACTTAAAAATTTTCTCAAAGCTACTAATTTCTTTTTTTCTCGATCAAATGAAAAAAAATCAATTTTGTTTGTCAACATGATTTTCACCTTCAATATTATACAGCACGATGACAATCATAATGTAGGACAATTATGACGTGTTGTGTTTTAACCTTCATGATTTTGTTAATAGAAAAAAAAAAAAGTTTTGAATGCAACGAATCACACTAAGAGACACTCTAAATATTATTGTAAAGTTATATTCCGTAATAAAGATAGTTATAAGATTTCATCTATCGGCAATGTTAATAGTCTTATCTTTCACTGAAGAATTGAATACATGTGCACTGAATTTGTAATAATTTTCAATCATTTGTATCGAACAAAACTAAACGAGACAATAGAATCCTCATTCAAGCATAACCAATCAATTTTCAAAGATATTGACTTGGAAATATCGGTCTTTCAACAGATGCGAAGATATGAAATTCTATTTGAACATCAGATTATATTTCATTTATAAATCTCATAATCGAAATTTTTGTTGAGACGTATCAAAAAGCATCTTTTAAAAATCTTATATATATGAAATAAAACAAAAAAATAATTCATAAGATATTAAAAGTGATATCAAACATGAGTCTAACAGCTTTTAAATCATTATTATAATAAGAGAAAAACACTAAAGAAGATTAATTTGCGATTAATAATTTATTTAACTTGTATTTTTGAATTCGATTTGTATCTTAAAATGAATTTATATGATTTCATTGAGACAATTGTAGTCTGTTTTTTTTTTAAATCAATCAAAATTTCCAATCTACATATCACTATATGAAAAAAATAAAATTAACTTCAGTCATTCACACACAAATGAAAATTACAAATCAGGTTTATTTATTCGTCGATATAATTGAATTATTCCATCTGTATTTGCTGTCATACACATATCTTTTTCTTTATTCCAATGTACACATGAACTTGGAAAATATTTCTCAGAATTTTGAAGAGAAAAATTTGTTAATGTTGGAAATTGAAGTTTATTATCTTCATCACCAATTGATAAACGATAAAGACGTGCATTTACTGGACTACATGTTATTAAACGATCAGAATCATGTGGATCAATATCAAAAACATTACCAATTGGAAAAAAATTATTATTATTATTATTTGATGGTGTTGATGTTCTTTGAAGAGAAGGTGATGGGATATTATTATCATTTGAAGACATTGAAGTATATGTTGGAAAAGGTCCAACAGCTGAATATGGTAATTCATATGATTGTATTGATTGATCAAATAAAGATAAATTTGATTGTATAATTAAATTATCATTTCCAATTGAATATAAATTATCATTAATAATATGAATATCTTGAATAAGACTTGAATGTTGTTGTTTTTGATGAATAAGAGTATTTGAACGAATATCATATAAAGCTATTTTCCCATCATGAAAACCTAAAAAACTTCATTATATTTTATTTAAAAATTAATTTGAAAAAACAAACCACGGCAAAATTACCTAAGATAAGTAATTGTCGTTCTGGATGTGCAGTCATACATGTAACAAAATTGTCATCAATATCAGTTAGTACACGTTCAACAGACCATGTATTTAAATCAAGAATTGATACACGACCAGAACGTATACGACTATTATCTGTTGTATTTAAACGACTTGCACTTGCTAATGAAACACAAAGACGATCTAAATATTAATAAAAGAATAATATATACATATATATATTAGCTACACATTAAATAGCATGTTACGATTCTAGAACTTTCAGAATGGATCAGTTGTCTCATGAGAAGTTTCTACTAAACTTTTCAATTGAATTTTGTCAAAGTCATTATGCGGATGATCTATTTTACTATAAATCAAGATTTGTTCTTCAATGAACATTTTCAATAAGAAGATAATATCTCAGTTATTTCAAACAAATCTCGGACTAGAAACAGCAACAACATTAACCTTTCGAATGAGGGTTTAGAGAAAAATAACCCTTCTTGTCGCATGCATACAACTTCATTTGCTCAGGACTGTATAATATATGGAAAAACTTACTTTGAACTGTATGTGGATAAATACACATAACTCTTGGATAATCTTTATCAATAATTGCTTCATTTATAATACGTTTTTCTGTTATATGTAGAACTTTAATGGTGGATATTGATGTACCCAAATAAAGTAATGGTTCATTAGGTATGAATGCTTGACATTGAAGTGCTGCTGAACGTGAAATAAGTGAAGTTATTATATCGAAATCTTCAGTTGCTGACCAAACTTTAAATTAGAACAAAAGAAAAGAGAGATTTAAAATTCAAATTATGTATTGTTTTTCTATTGTTTTTACTTTTAACTTGACTTTGAATATCAAGTGTGGAATAAAGTGTACCATCCATATTTAATTTACAATCAATAATTGTACTTGAATGATGTCTTAATTCTGCCAAATGAATTAGTTTCTCTTCATTGACATCGATCTAATTATAGAAATTCATTAGAAAAATGTTTTTTTTTTTGTCTAGGCTTTTTGTTAAAGCATGCTCGTTAAATCTTACAGATTAGCATAAACAAATGAGCAGAAAGAAAAAAGAAAATCGAACCACATACGTGGGTGCATGAGCATATTATTTTCATACATGAGCATCATCTTGAACAATAGTTGCTGCTTTAGGTCGTGTTGTTAACATAGGTGTTGCTATTATTGATGATGGTGGTACTCGTGGAATTGCTATATCATCTGTTGCTAATAATATTTGATTACCGGTTGTAGATTCTTGAGATGGTTGAGCAAAATTTGGTTTTGTTGAAAATGAAGGTAATTTACCTTTGACAACAAATAAAACAAAATAAAATTAGAAAAAAACAAAAACAAAAATGTTTGTTCATTTACTTCGTGATGTTAATGGTTTTGTAGTTGGTAAAAAACTACTTCGAAATTTTGATATTATAGTAGGATTTGATTGACGTTGTTGTTCATTTCCTGATGTATTTGGTGATATTTGAATTTCATCAAGAACTTCAGCAAATTGAGCTATTGATGGATCAATACGCTAGACCGAAACGAAATTTTCTTTATTTTTTTTTTTTCTTTCTTAGTATATTTTAAACTCACAGCTGAAGGTGGAAATAATGATTTCGAATTTGTTGTTTGTTGACTAATTAAATTTCCATATTGTTGTGAAGTATTTTCTTCCATTGAACAGATCTTTGGTGGTATCATACTAATAAAAAAAAAGGCTTCTTTTTTTCAAGAAAACAAAACAGATTTTGTGTTTTTTACTGATAGAAAGCAGTTGATAAAAAATTTTGTAATGAAATCCAAAAAAGATCATTCCATTGTTTTGAAAAATATAATTGAAATATTGGATTTTCTTCAGGATTTTTTATAAATGGTAATGCAAACCAATCTTTTGTCCATTCATTTGATTGTTGTAAATTTTTAGCTAAACGATCAAAAAATTCATGAATTTTATCCATTTTTGATGATTGTATTGCATGAATTAAATAACAACGATATAAATTTGTACGAATTTTTGTTAAAACATTTGTTTGTTGTTGAGAACGTATTATTAATGTTGATAAAAGACGTTGTTCAATTTGTGTCCAATAATCAATTAAATTATTTATATCAAATTGATTAATATAAAGTGTTAGTTGTTCAGTTATACGATCAGCACGAAATTGTCCAATTGGAATTTTTGTTATTTCATTTTCAAATGTTCTTAAAGTGCTTGTTAAACCACGATAATTAAGATAATCACGTATAAGATCATCAATAAATGAAAACGAACTAGCCATTTTGAATACTTATGACTAAATGAATGATTAGATATGCATATTTACTTTCCATCAATTGTTTATACGTTTTCTGATTGGTTAACTATTTTAGTTTATTTATTTGTTTATGTATTCCTTTATATATAAAGTGAACAATTTTTGTAAGATATTAAATAATAGATAGTTACATTCTTTATTCCAATAGTTTTTTTTTCTTATAGGAATATTAAGTGAAATTTTTTTTTTACAAATAATATCGATTGATTTCTTTTCTTGCAAAAAGTCTAGGTATAAAACGTATAATCAGTCCATATGGTATTCTTTGTATAGGAAAGTACTGTACTGAAAGAAAAATATTACATTGGGAAGATTGCTGTCTACGTCGCAAAAAAAGTATATTTATTCTAATTCAATCAATATCAAATTTGGACCCGAGATCAATTTAGAAACCTATCGATTTTTTTTCCCATCAATATAAGAAGCCTTAACTTTCTGTAAAATGAACAGTTCCTATTCAAAACTTTTTTTTTATTACTCGACAACACAACACTTCTTAAATTCTTTCCTTGTTAATATGTATTGCAGAAAAAAAAAACCAAGAATTTGTAAGATTTTAATATATTTTTATTTGAGACCGATGTTCGTATATGGAATCTTTGTATTTTTCCTTTTTCCATAAAATAATTTCTTTTTCTGTAATGTTCCTTTATATAAATTAACGACGTCGTTCATATATTCGACATTGTGTTTGAATACAAGTATCTCTACCATTATCAAAAAGATCTCTTTTTTTTCTTCTTTGTTGCCGGGTTTCCATACATTTTTTAATACATCCATTAATATATTTAATTTTTTCTTCAGTGGAATAACTAGTTTCATGCATAGTTAAATGTATTGTTTCCGGTGGAAGTGTTGTAACAGATTGAGTATTTTTATCCTTATTTAACCATGACAAATTAAGTCCAACATTTTCTGATGAAATTGAAGAAATTATAAAAATAATAACGAGAAGACAATAATATTTAACGACCATCGTGTCTCGAATATTTCGAAGAAATGAATTTCATCTGATCTTCTTTTTTTTTTCTCTATTGTTATTTCAAAATAAACATCTGTTCGATTTTCTCATAAAACGTTTGGTTATTTTTTGTTTTTTTTTTTGTTTTATTTAGATGACATCGAACGATGAATTAACGATAGCAGGATTATTTGATTTTGCTTTTGATCTTCAACAAAAACTTGAAACAAATAAAATCGAACAGAAACTTGAAACATTTAATATTGCAATAAATCGTTTAAAACTAGCTGAAGAAAAACTTGATGAATTACATTTATTTTCTGATAACGAAGAAATTAATGAAGTATCAACAAATGAATTACGGTAGTAAAATCAAAATGATAAAACTTAAGAAAATAATTCATTTGTTTTTTGTGTTTTATTCTTAAACAGATATTTTATTCTTTATGCTTTAATTGGCTGGCTTTATGAATATCGTTCATCAAATCGTGAACAGCGTTTAGAGGATATTCATTTAGCCATATCATATTTTATTAAATATTTACAATTATGTAAAAATTATGGACTTGTTCAATATATTCCAAAAGAAAAAGATGATGATAATGAAAAATTTCGTTTACATGTTTCAGAAGATCGTCAAACAAAAATTCAAAAGTAAAACAAGGAATTTTTAAGACAAAATATAATCGAAAAATTTTATATTTAGATTAAAAGAAAAAAAAATACTCGAACAATCTATCAATAAATTGCGTGAAATGATGCATGATGTTAATCGTGTTGATGATGAAATTAAACGACACTTATATATTGAACAAATTAAATGGTGGATTAAACAAACTGAAGAAGATATTATTGAATTGAAAGGTTTTTGTTTTTTTGAATAAATAAGATTTTTATTTTAAATCGTATTTATTTAGATGAAATTAAATTAATTCAATTTTCTAAAGATCCATTTCCACAAAATAATAATACAACTACAACAACAGCAACGAATAAATTACCTATTGATGGACCATTTACATTAGTTACAACAAAAGATAGATTGTATACAGAAGCAGTTGGAGGAGCTGGCTATCCAAGGTGAGATGATCCATTTGAATTAATATTTAAAATCAAAAAACGTCACAGAACGTTTATCTTCATCCTATCCTGTGCTTTACAGGGCAGAATTATGATTAAGTGGATGACTTTGATGTTTTGCAGAACTCAAATATTATCTCTTATCAGAGCAAAACTGTTCATTCGATCGAAATAAGAAGAAGATACTCAATTTATTTTTTTGAATCATCTAATTTGAGCTACAGTGTAGAATTAGTTCTTTACTGAATTCTTTTAATATACGAATACAATTAATAAAGATATTAATAATATAATAGTAGAACATTGAATATCAATATATCACACCAGATGAATGAAGACTAAGCATCATAAACAATCAGGAAAAAATAATTCAGGGATGTAAAATAAATCGAAGTGTAAAATTCAATTACAAAAAGTGACAAGTATTGTTAAGAGGATGTAATTACGGTACTTCTATTATAAGATCGAGATCGAAATTTTTTATTCTTCAATATCTATAATTAATTCAAAATGATAACAATTTCAAATAATAATAAAATAATCAAAAAAATCTAGACACTTTTCTATCTTTCACATAGTGCCTTCACATCTTCATGTAATGCTGTGTATGACTGTACTGTTTGGTTGTGGTTTAAGGTATATGGACGTTGAAAACGAATGAAAATGCATAGCAATATCGAGAGCTATTTGCTTAGAATTGTTCTTTATTCACTTATGATATTATTATTGTAATGAAAATTCACGGAAACACAAATATTAATGAACTATTCATTTTTCTATTAAATCTTAGGATTTGGTCATGCTTAGTGATGCATGAATATTACTTATCCATAAGACTCACGATTCATATTGATTATTTCTAGTAGTCAAATTTCCCCGCTTAATTTACTGGTTTTCACTGCATTCTATTTATGACTTTTGAAATCATACATTTCATCTATGCGAATTTGATATGTTTATCGAATAAAAATGTTATTCTCGTACTTATATGTAATGTTTAATCTTTTGTTTAATTTAGCTTACCAACGATGACTATACAAGAATTTTACGATGATCTTGCTAAAAGACAATCTCAGCAACCAGGTAATATTAATAATTTAAAATTGCTTTCGTTTTTATATTTTATTATTTAAGTTCCACCTCCAAAACCAGTTCCATTATCTGAAGAACATTTAAATGAAATCGATGATGCAACACATCGACAAAATATTCGTCTAATGGATGAATATAAAGATGATAATCCACGTGGTAGCGGAAATCGTTATAATCGTAGTTAATCGATATTTTGTTATCATCAAAATTTTATGTTTATTTATTTTTCAAAACAAACACATCAAATGTTTTTTTTTCTCTTTTCAGATAAAAGATGACAACTATGTCACATACCTCAGAAGAATTTCGTGAACAAGGAAATCAAGCATTTAAACAAGGACATTTTCAAGAAGCAATTGATCGTTATACAGATGCAATAAATATTCTTCATGATCAACAATTAAATGAAACAATTAAAAATGACTTAACTAAATGTTATAGCAATCGTTCACAATGTTATATTAATTTAGGTCAATATGATGATGCTATTGAAGATGCAACAAGAGGTACAAATAGATTAATTTTGTTTAAAAAATAAATATTTTCTTTGTGAAACACAATCTAAAGGGAATGTTGAAGTATAAAAGTAGAAACTTGAACTTTCTGACAGATATCCTTATACGATCACAGACCGTATATTAGTAACATCTCGTTGTAAAAAAGTGGAGACAAAAAGTTTAGAAATGTATTATGCTTTGCTTTTTTCCTTAAGGTTAACAGCTAGAACATATCAAAGGGAAATATTTGATTAGTTGAAACAATTTCCTTGAAGAAGAACTCATCCATTTCCTATTGACAGGATGGGGTAAATGATTCCTAGAAAATCAAGAATTCTAATATGAATTCTCTGGATTCTATCAAAAATATGTTGCTTATCTAATAGAAAAAAATATTTCTGAACAAAATAAGATATTCTCGAGCTCCTCACGACCTATCTTCAACGAATGACAATCATTGTACGATGGACCCCAAAGACTATTTTCTGTTATTTTTATGAGAAATTTATTTGAATTTACTGTATTCTACACTTTGACCTCTTTCGGTGAAGTCTTATTTTGTTCAGAAACGTTTTCTCTACTAGATGAACTTGTTTCCAAAACGTTTACGATAGAATTTTAAAAAAAATCGTTTCGGAGATCTTGATTTTTCAGAGATCTTTCATCCAAGCCTGTTACAGAGAATTGGACAAGTAGCTCTACTGATAGAGAATTGTTTCAGTTAATCAGACTTTTTCTTCGATTTGTGCTAGCTGTTATTGTCAAGGAAAAAAGTCGAAAATACTTCATTTCTAAGCGTTTTACTTGCGTCTGGCAGAACCACTTTGAAGGATTAAGTAAAAGAATAGTGAAGAAATATGTCTCAAAATAGATAGAATAAAACAGCTTCGCCCTATGGTTAGCAACAGCAGCTGCATCATGTTTCGTAATTTAATTCCATCGGAATTGCAGTAACAATTTTGTTTTTTTTATTTGTTTTAAAGCACTTGAATATACACCTTCCGATCAAAAATCGTTATATCGTCGAGCAAATGCTTTTGAACGTTTGGGAAAATTAAATGAAGCTATATCCGATGCTCAACGATTAATGTCTGTTTCATCAAAAGGTGGATCTACAGATGAACAAACATATAATCTTTTACGAAAATTACGTGAAAGTGCACAGAGCAAAGTAGTTTTTTTTCAAATCTAGTTTCTTTTCTTTATTTTGTTTTCTAAAAAGATTTCACAACAAACACAATTAAACAATCAAATTCAACAAATGTTTGAAACTATTATTTCTAAATCAAATCAACAAGAAACTGTATGAATCAAGTTTGGTTTGATGATACAGA